ATATCTCCTCGTTCATTTTTGTGTTTGTTACTCTCTTGTAACACCTCTAATCTTCGGCACTTATATGACCTTATTGTGTTGCAAGTGCCGTAAAACGCTTACTAATACTAAACATGTGTGGCTGTAGTTTCATTTTAAATGGAATGACCCACCCACGCACAGGTTAGAAACTGATGACTTTTTGTTGATTCTTGTTACTTTTGTTAACATGTCGGTGATATTTCTGTTTTTCTTGCATTCAATGTGTGAATGTTGTAATTTGCCCAACTTTTGAAAAGACTAATACATGTACTAATAGTATCATTATTATTGGAGTGAGAGAGGCTGACACATGAATGATGGTGTGTGGAATTTGGCGTTTTCAATTCAAGTGACTCTGTGCGCTTCTCAAGCTGTGTTATTTTTCTCCATGCAATGTGTCATCTCGACTTTGTTCAGTTTCTGGCGTTTGAGCTGTCCTGCACCCCCCAATTCTCGTACCAGGCTTCAAGGTCAGGTGATTAATAAAAACCATTGATCATTGTTCGCAGAGTTTTTGACTCAATATTTATTCAGACCGACTGTTTAGTTTCTGTAGTGGTTGGTATATTATTATTATGTTCCTATCCGGCAGCATTTTAGCTTTGTGCGTGGGTGGTTAAAGGGTGCTCTGGTGTTCCCTTTTTTCCTATCAAACATCTATCTTCCTCATAATAATATCTCCTTCTTCTTTTCTTTTTATGTTACTCTCTAGTACACCTCTAATCTTCGGCTCTTATACACATGGCCTATTTGTGTTGCAGACGCAGTCAAACTTTTACCAAAACTTAACTGGAATAAAAATAAAATAAACGATGTGCTTAGAAATGGAGGAGAGATGAGAACGATACAGTTGTTTGAAATGGAAGAAAGCGCAAACTACTAGAGTAGAGCACCCAGCAACCACTCACTGGACTCCAACAAAGTGAAAACATGTAAAAGATATTCATTTTAAACAGCCCTCTTTTATTTATTTTTTTTTTTCAAAACAAATGGGCCAACGCGTACAAAATTACATTGTGAAGTAAGCATTTCATAAAAAGTAACAAAGTGCTTATTTTTAAGATAAATACAAAATTGCATTCAGAAGTGCCATGTCTTTCAGAAACACCACAGTTCTTTTGTACACCCTCACACTGCCCATGTAGGTGGTTGACAGGTGCTCCGATGTGATATGCTCCTTCTTTCTGCTGAAACATCAGTTGGCTACTGATGGGTGTCTTTAGGCCATTCCCAAGGTTTATCTATGTCATGTTCATACTGTGCCGATACATCATAATCAAAGGGGAACTTGCTTTTTCTTTCCTCAACCTTACTATCGTCATTTTCCTTCAACTTCTTTTGTATGTTTGTTACTCTCTTGTGAACTGCTTTTTCCGGGGTGCCTTGATAATCGAAGCAGACTTTGTGCTGTTGAGGCTAGAGAGATGAGCTGAGTAAGCCTGATTCCCCGTTTGGACTTCTCTGTTGACATCCACCTCTTGGCGCTCATATGACCTTATGCAGTTGAGAACGCCGTAAAACGTTACTAAAACATCTATCGTCCTTTTCTCTCTTCCTTCCTCCCTTCCTTTGTGTATGTCACATTCTAGCACATGTAGCAACGCCTCTAATCTTCGACACCTAGTGACCTATCTGCACTGGATGTACCGTAGAACTTTCACGTGGGGGGGCTCTTGTGGCCAAGACTAGGGGTAAAGGTGTTCGCCTCTCATTCAATAGGTCCCGGGTTCGAATCCGGATAGCAACGGAAAATGTTCTCCTCTAAAAGTGTCTCCTTTCACATCATTTCCTGCCATCTAACCTAACTATTCTGCCGTCTGCTTTCATCTCCACTTTCTGCCCCCACCCCCTCATCTCCTTTGCCCCCTCCTCTGGGCTCCTGATTCTTTCTGCAGCCTTTCTGCTGCTACTCTTTGGCTCCTTCTTTCTGCTGCCTTTCAGTCACACCCCTAATCTTATGGTAGGAAAGATCTACACCTAGCCTTCTCGGACAAGGGCGAAAAATCTCGGAGGTCCCGTGTGCAAGTTGCGCACGTTAAAGATCCCTCCCTTGGTGGTCCAAAATCGATAAGAGTGGGCTTCAGCAGCCACCCGGGCAAAATTCAAAATTTCCTACCGACTGAAAATGTTTGGTGTGTCCCGCGTGCTCATGTGACCTTAAGCAGCTGCGAGCGCCGTAAAACATTTATTTAAAATTGTTTAAATAAAAACGTTTCGCGTTAAATAAACTTCAGCTCCGGTTCTTGGGGCGAACATGTGTACAAGGACGGATATAACGGCCTCAACAGTGGTGCCTTTTTAAACAGTATCCGTACGTCGTGTTTTACTATCGTATCCTTACGACGTGGGGAACTCTGTGCCACCACTTAACCCTATCCGTACGTCGTGTTTTACTATCATATCCTTACGACGTGGGGAACTCTGTGCCACCACTTAACCCTATCCGTACGTCGTGTTTTACTATCGTATCCATACGACGTGGGGAACTCTGTGCCACCACTTTCCAAAGGGGAAATTTACTCGTTAATCCGATCAGTACTCTTTGCATAGCAGTCTGTCAAAATGATTTTTTGAGAAATATCGAAAATTTCAAAGAGATCTTCGCACGTCACGCACAAATATTTGCTCGAAGGAGAGGAAGCTCCTTTTTGCGTGGCGTGCAACACAAATTTCACAGTTCGACACATCCTAATGGAATGTGTCGACTTTAATTATGTCCGTGAGAAATATTTTGAATGTAAAGATATTAAGACCCTTTTTGACATCATAGAGCCTAGAAGAATTTTAAGTTATATAAAAGAAATTGGACTGTTTAATAGAATATGAAAATATATAGTTATCGTTATCGGTGTATATATACATACGGTGTATACATACACTGAAATTTGTATTGTATATACAAATGTAAATAAGCCTTTTCCATATTAAATTTTTTAAATAAATGTTTGTTCGTCTTTTTAGCATAATAGAAATAGTGTGATCGTTTGCGGTTGCGAGCTCCGAACGACTCTTATTGAAAACACGTCTGATTTTGTAGCGGTGAAATTAAATGACCAAAATTGTGTCGATAGTGCCGTAAAACATCTACCCAATCAATCATGTTCTAGAAGTATTCTAAAATGTGAAGAATACAACCCCGTGGGTACAAAATGACCCCAGGGCCTACGGATAGGGTAAATATGCACCGACGCAATTTTGATCCTTTAGAGGCGGGATTTGAACCTGCCCGGCCGGTGGCTGGAGGGCGCTATACTGACAGGTCCTACTTCTTTACGCTACCTCGGCCTGTCTGTCTGTCTACTGTCTGTCTACTGTCTGTCTGTCTGGATGTCTGTCTGTCTACTGTCTGTCTGGCTGTCTGTCTGTCTGTCTGTCTGTCTGTCTGTCTACTGTCTGTCTGTCTGTCTTATTTTTTCCAAGCACTAAGTGACCCTGATTGTGTCGATGTGCTTCTCTTTACTCAAACCAACCTGGCTGAGTGGGTGGTTGGCGGGTGCTCTGGTGTGGTTTGCTCCTTCTATTTCTATCCTATCAAACATCTATCATCCTTATCTCTCTTCCTTTGTATGTATGTTACTCTCTTGTAACACTAACACCTGTAATCTTCGGCACTTATATGACCTGATTGTGTTGCAAGTGCCGTAAAACTCTTACTCAAACAACGAACCTGGCTGACTGTCAGAGCCAACCCCAGGCCGAGAGGGACTCAACATCCCAGGTGAAAGACCGGAGGATACTTGATAGAACTGTCCCCACTCAGGAATCGACTTTGGGTCTCCTACGTGTGATGGCGAAGTGCCTAACCACTACACCACAGACACCATCTGTCCAGTGGTTGAAGGCTGCTCTTGTAGGGTTTGCTTCTTTTTCATCAAACATTAATTTATTAATAATATCACATGTTATCTCTCCTTCGTGGGTGGTTGGCGGGTGCTCTGGTGCGGTTTGCTTCTTCTTTCCCAACAAATAGCTTACGTCTTTACCTTCCCTTCTTTTTCTAAATGTTTGTTACTCTCTTGTAACACTTCTAATCTTCTGGCGCTTCTATGACTGTCCCCGTGGTTTTATGCACCTCGCATAATTTAGCAGTTTGATCATTTTTTGCATACTTTTTAAAAATTATTTTTCTTTACCATTCTTTGTTAGAATAACAGTTTGCATAATTTCACATTTTACGGCTCAGTTTGCATAATTTCACATTTTAGGGCTCAGTTTGCATAATTTCACATTTTAGGACTCAGTTTGCATAATTTCACATTTTAGGGCTCAGTTTGCATAATTTCACATTTTGTTCTTGCATAAAACGACGGGGACAGATCTGACCGTATGCAGTTGCGAGAGCCGTAAAATATCTACTAAAACTAAAAGTAAACTCTCCTTTTCTTACGTTATCTCTAGTAGCAACTCAAATCTTCGGCACCTGTGTGACCAACAGTATTATCAGTGTCAGTGAGTGCCGTAAAACCCATATTCCCTCAAATAAGTAAATTAAGCATTCCATGCGAACAAAAAAAAGTACATTTGTGCTTATTTTTATTATAAATATACAATTGCATTCAGAAGTGACATTCCTTTAAGTTGAAGAACCAACAAAATCAACACAGTGCTTTTGTACGACCTTGCGCTGTCCCCGTGGGTAGTTGGTGTGTGCTCTGGTATAGTGAGCACCTTCATATTCAAACATCTATGAGGGTGGTTGGTGGGTGCTCTGGTATAGTATGCACCTTCATAATAATTATATCCAAACAAGATCGCCTTTATTTTAGTAGGGCGGTCTCGATCCAAACCTGTTGTCCTTATCTCTCCTCCTTCTGCGGGTGGTTGGTGGGTGCTCTGGCATGGTGTGCTCCTTCATATCAAACATCTATGTGGGTGGATGGCGGGTGCTCTGGTGTGGTTCGCTTCTTCTTTCCTATCAAACATCTATCGTCCTTATCTCCCCTCCTTTTTGTGTTTGTTACTCTCTTGTAACACCTCTAATCGTCGGCGGCACTTATATGACCTTATCGTGTTGCATTTCAAGTGCTGTAAAACACTTACTTACTAACACAATTCAAAAATATTCCCAGATCTACTAAAACTTTGGTAAAAAAAACACACAAAAAACAACCTTCCACTAGATAAAAAACGAACGTAGATATCTCTGCAGTCCTAGTTTTGACTCATCTGATATTGTCACTAAAACTTGGTAAAAACCTTCCAGCAGGTAACAAACTAAGGTAGATATCTATGCAGTCCTAGCCGAGACTCATCCGATATTATTATATATCGCTATCACTAAAACTTTCTAAGAACCTTCCACCAGGTAGATCAAACAAACTAGCGTAGATCTCTATGCAGTCCTAGCCATGACTCATCCCACGACGGGCGAGCTTCCACAGGTCACGTGAGCAGCCATCTGCCGCTGTAGCCAGGGAATGTACTTGCTCACGTCAGTGTAGATGCCCGGCCACTTGGGCTCAGCGCAGTCGTAGCCCCAGCTCGAGATGCCTGCAGTGGGAGCGCAATGAAATGAGAATACAATGAAATAATAATAATAATAATAATAATAATAATAAG